AAAATTAATTTACATTATTAAATTGATATATTAATAAATTAAGAAATAATTTGAATTAATCAATTTTTAAAGTTTAATTACATATAAATTTATAAATCAAATATACACCTTAGAATGTATTCCCCAAACTAAACTTGTTGTTCAGGGAAGCAAATAAACACAATCTTAAAATGGGAACTCTTTCCAACTGGAAAAACAAGCTTTTAATAGATAAAAATAATATTTCAGCTATTAACATGTCCACATAAGTTTGCTAGGTATGAGGCAAAGTGGAGTATGTACACCTTCTCAAAAATTCTAGCACCTTAGCACCTTTCCTAGGCAAGATCAGTAGCTGACTATGAAATGTAAATATAAAAATAGACATGATGAGCATCACAGTTTCAGTTGCAGGAAAGCTGTTGATACACTTGTTATTTTTCTATAAAGGTGCATATGATACCATCCATATCTAGACAGCCCTTGGGAGATGTGTGTCTAAAACAGAGCCTTAAAAGCACAGAGTAAAGGAGATGATGCAATATTATACGTATTCTGTTCTACCATACACTTTTTCTCATTCAAACATTTCCTTAATATTTACTCCAAGTCCTTTTTACTTCAAATGAAACAGTTATAGTCCTGGGAATATAACCTTTTATATTTCTTAATGAAAATACTTTTCATTTGAAAAAAAAAATTTCATACTCCTATACCCAGTCTTTACTTTTCTTGTCTCTTAACTTAAAATATTAAGTTCTGTCCATACCTTTTTTAATCTTCATACTTGTCATTCTGGCTTCTTTCCTACTTACTCTTAAAATTATATTTATTTTTCAAAGAAAGAGGCCTACAAATTATGCTCTATTAGGGGTACTGTAGACTACCACTGAGATTAGCCATTGCTGAGGAAAGCAACATTCACATCCAGCAGTGTAGAAAGGATACTTACACTAATATTTGCACTAATAAGGTATACCATTTTTGCAAATGTTTGACATTGTTGAGTCTGTATAAAATAGTGCCCCCAATTCCTTTTCTCCTTCTCTCAGATGACAAAACCCATGCATTTCTCTGTCTGATTTCATCCTTCACAAGTACTTTGTTTACCTTCCTTAAATTTCCTTCTGAAAATAAGAGATATTTACTTCAATTTTCCAGAGCTACTTTTAAGTCTGGTCTCACTCTGCCCCACTAAAGTTCTTAGATGCCACCTTGCCCAAAGCACACACCACCAGTGTCTGCTTCTGTCAGCTCGGGTTGTTTTAGTTCAGCACTACGTCCCTAACATTTCCAGGCCTTCTTTGGCTCATTCCACGTGTCTTTGTTCTGTCCCAGTGGACAACACATGAGACTGGCTGACCCAGCAGGCTGGTCTTTAACCCATCTGCTGTGGCTCGATCATAATCCGTGGGCCAGGCAGTTCCACCAGCTTCAGAAGCACCATTTCTGAGTGACACCCAGGTGCTGGTCTGCAGCCACCAGGCACCCAGAGGAGGCTCCACCTCGGCGGCTCCATGGTGCCACCCCCTGGCAATGGGGCCTCGGGCCCGGCTGAGCTCCGTGGGACTGACAGGAGCTGCTGCAGTCCTGTGGCCGGTGCCCTCTGGGAATGAAGCCACCGTGTTTCTGCCAAGGAGCCCTAAAAGAACTTGTCTGTCCCTTCAGTGTCACGTGACAAGACCAAGCTGAGAATAAAGCTGGAGGGGCCCGTGTCCTCTGAACTACAGTTCAAGTGCTGAGACGAAAGGCACAGCCACCGGCCCAGCTGATGTCTCTGCGCCCACGTTTGTCG